ACTGTCTTTATCTCAACCCCCGAGTTTTTGTTTTCACTCTTGTCCTTCTGATTCTCTCCCCGTCCCACTGGGCGCGGGGGAGTGAGCGAGCATCTGTGTGGTGTTTGGCTGCCTGCCAGGTTAAACCATGACAGTCCAGAGGTCAATGGACCGAAACCATCCTCTTTTTTCCTGCATAGATATGTATAACAAACATTTCTTGAAAGGAATACAGGGAAAGCGGTTCATGAATGAGAAATGGTTTGCTCAATGGCTGTGAAGTAAAAGCGATATTACTTTACATGTGTTGTACCTCTGTTGGTCATCTAGTCCAGACAACTGTATAGAGCTAGAAGTTTAAAGCTAAAACCTTTCATTAAGCTCTTTACATTTACATAATCTAGTTACCTGAAAGCTAGTCAAAAAGTTTGTAGGAAACTGGGTGGTACTCTCTCAGAAAGGATTCTTGGCTTCTGGGATGTTGCATGTTATTAAGCGTTTCAGTCTTTGTCCTTAAGATATTTGGAGTCTAAACTTAGCCCTGTGAAATCTTCTGAGCTTGTCATTCTTAGTTAAACTTACTGAATATTTCAAGGTTTGATAGCGTTTATCAAAAGGCAAAAACCTAAACATATTATGGCTTTGAAAAAGGAGCAAAACAAAAGCCAAATGGGTAACAGTTGGCTTGGGTTGTGGTTACCTTAAAGATTATAGAGGATCTATTTGTTTCAGGTTTTACCTGTGCTCTGCAGAAAGAAATCCTGTACCAAGGAAAGTTATTCCTTTCTGAAAACTGGATTTGCTTTCATTCCAAGGTTTTTGGTAAAGACACTAAGGTTAGTAAAATCTTTATGTACAGAACAATAATGCTATTCCTTAGCAGTTTATTCATCACCAGAAGTTCACATTATTATGCAAGGCTAGAATACTACTACTACTTCTAAGTATTATTGAATACAATCACTGTTCAGAAGCAATGCCCAAATGTCACTCCAGAACTGGAGCACTATTATTATTAAAGATAGAGTCTCTCTCTTAAGGACTTCCTGTCTGAAAAAAGAATGAAAGGAAAGGATCTGACACGCAGCGGTGAGGGCATTGCCAAGCCTGTGTAGCACAAACTGTACAAAAATGTCTCTCTTGGGGTAAGTATGGAAAAGAGGAGGAGGAGGAGGAAGGAAGGCTGAAAAATATAAGGACTACAAGACTGTAGTTGGGGAACGGGAGGGGAGGATTAAGCATATTAAGACAATTAAAGAGGAAGAACTAAAACTGGCTTCTGAGTTGAGTGGCAAAGGTCTTTGAGGGATTCTTCTAGCACTCCTTCTTTTCTGCATAAACAGAGAACAGGGAAAGAAAAACCAGTTTGCTAGGTTTTCACTTGTGAGCTTAGTATGAAGAGCAGAAATAGGACATGAACAGTTGGAAATTTACAAGACCATCATTTACTCTTTCGAGGTGCCGATACGACCCACCTAAGGCTTGGGCCCCCTGTGGTGAATGATACGTGTACAGATAAAAATAAAGCCTTTCCAAAAAGATTTGTGTTCTGGTTCTGTTGATTCAGAGCTTTTGGAGTGGTTTTCTTTGCTTACATAAACTCTGCTTTGTTTTTGAGCTTCTATTGGGAAACAGCTCGATTTGCTGTGAGGATTTCTTTGGCTTCTTTCTCGAGTACTTCCTTGAACAAAGCTCCTGTTAGATCCAGACTCTTTGTCAGTGAACGAGGTGCTGAAGCCAGTTTAGGAGTTGACAGTATCTCATTTCTGTGCTGTCAACCATTTTGATGGAAATCTATCTCTGAAATGGCTTTTAAGAAGGTGGAATAGGTTTAAAGAATGCTTAAAATTATTAACAACACATCGTTCATAGTGACCTTACGGGTTATTGTGTTTTACTGCTTGGCCCAAGAAACTGAGTTGTTACTGATTCCTAGTTAATGGATCCTATTAGTCATAGGCAGTACATTAATGCAGATGGTATGTATGTCAGTGAAAGCCATGTGGCACAAACAAGGAAATCAAAATGAACAAATGGTTGGATACTGTCATTCATAATTAGTAACAGCTATCTTGGCAATTAGTTTCATCAAAATTGAAGCTGCTATATTAGCAATCTCCTGTTCATCACAAACAAATGAGACTACTTCAAACTGTGGGACAGCTTTCTAAATTCAAGCTAAGCTAAATGTATACAAAAATCTGGTAGAACTCTACCAAGTAGACTAGAAAGACCTGGAAAAAAAGATGCAGGATGATAATGATGTAGTACTAGGAAATTATCTTTGTCAACAGGCTTTTAAATGCAGGAATATTTACATATTTATGTATACAACGAAAAGGGAAAACATATTACAAGATAGAGTAGAGTGGACAGTATTTGTGAAAGTGGCTATAGTGATAGTCCAAATTATTCAATTCTGGGTCATTGTTTTCAGGAAACATTGTGGGGAAAACAAAGAATGAAGGGGATAGGCCTGATCATTTATTTCCAGCTGTCTTCCCCTACCCCTGCAACACACACTTAAAGCTTTGTTCAGTCACATACAGCATGCACAAACTTTTAGGAGTACCATCCACAAAAAAGCAGGAAAATCACGGATATAATGAAAAATAATGTAATGGGAGGGGGTGGAGGAAATCAAGCTTGACAGGAAGAGGAACCTTCTTAGCGCTCAGATACACTGACAAAGTTTCCAAGGCATGAAACGTCTATTGCTTAGAACTTGTAAAACAATTTAAGCTCAGTAATAAAGTGTTTTATTGTGAGAAGTAGCAGGTCTACACGTTCTAATAAAATTTTCAACATGAATTCTTCTACCTGCAGAATTTTTTTTTTGAAAGCTTTGGTGGAGAGAATAGCCATGCAAGTCAGGAGATTTGAATCTGCAGTGTAAACACTGTGCATATTCAAAAACAAAAGATTGCTTCTGCAGGATTGACTAGGCTTTGAAAGACATCACTGTCATTCCAGGTAGTTCTGTTTTAGCTATATATATTGACCTTGAGTCTTTCCTGGAGCTAAGCATTATCTTACGCATTTTAGTTGCTTTCCAAGTTGCCTGCAGGTAAACCTTGTTTCCTGAAATAATTATTACTCCAGATGGAAATAAAGTACTTTGCAGTGATTTCACCATTTTAACCTATTGCTCAGGTAACAGTGCGGTAACCAAGTACTTAATTCCACTTAAGTACACTTTAGTGTTGAGTACAGTAATGTTACCCATCAAAATAGCATTCAGTAGAATGTCATTAACAACTCTGATTTAAGGTTCTTTGAGGTGAACTGAACAAATTAGAAAACGTCCAAGCTGCTTTTTTCATCATTACTATTAGCTGAAAAATCTTCTGGTTTGGTTTTGTTTTGGTTTGTTGTTTGTTTTGTTTGTTTTTTAAAAAGTGTTGCAGATTCTGTTCTGACTACCTGAGGATTCTGGGTTTTTCCCATAGAACACACATCGTAGCTGCTCCCTTCTCTCCACTCCCAGAAAAAGCTGTTTTGAAAAGTGTTGCAAAAACTTTGTGGGACAATACAATATCCAGTTTAAGAAGAAAAGATACAGTGGAGGACCTGTTTGATTACCCATTTTCAAAAGACATGGCTTCTGAGGCAGGACAAATACAGCTGACATGTTAAAAAATCAATAAACAAATGATGACCAGATCTACAGATTCTTAGACCCAGACCTGGGACTAAGAATAATTACAATTATATGATTTGGGTTGGGTTGGGTTGGGTTGGTTTTTTTCTGGTAGCACGCTTTTTTAACGAAACTAAGTACCAACTGAAGAGCGAGTTTCTAGCCCTTGGATGACAAGCAGATACTTGACTAGCCATGCTTAATCAGCGGCTGGCAATCTTGCACCCAGACTAATGGACACAAATACATTTTTTGTTACCTGAAACCAATTTTCATTTCATGATTTTGTGTTGCTGTTCTGAACAAAAGTTAACAAGGTTTTATGAAACTCTGCACAGAGTAACTTCCTTCTCCTTTTGCACTGACATGTTTTTAATTCAGTGCTGTGATCGCTCATTGAACAATCTTTGGACACTTTTAATCTTGCTTCCAAACTTCTCAGGTAGTTGTGACAGTGTGTGCCAAAGGAATTCTTAACAGGAGCTGTATCCTAATCATGTGTATCCAGGATTATTATACTTGCCTAACTCACTAAGCTCTAGGCTTTTCAACTGAAAGTCAAAGCAGGTATTTTGTCCTGTGTAATATGGGGTTTACAAGAAGAGCTTATACAGAATATCTGAAGTGAAATACTCTGAAACTTAGCAGGCATCAAGCTAATGGGGTTGGATGTTAACACAAAGCAGGAAGGAAAATTGAGAACTTTTCAATGTAAATGTAGGCAGTCTGGATGGCACACACAAAAATCAGTTTCAGTAAGTCAGTGGGCGTGTGGGTATTGGGTCTTTCAACATTACTGAAGGACAAGCTGTTTACTCAGCTGCTTGTGGCAGGCTAAAGGATCTGTAAGTGATGAGAAGACTTTTATGTTCATTGTTCAACAAGCCTCTTTTGTCTGATGTGTTCTGAAATGTTTTGTTTCTAAACAAAGAAGCCTAGCTTTAAGACTGGTTTGTTCTGCAGATCTACAGTGAACTAAGCCTGCAGTCTTGTAAGAGCCGGAAGGGATCAGGAAAGGAAGACACAAACAAAAGCCTGGATTTGCATCTGATAAAAATAGAAGTAAAAATAGTTAAGAAATAGTAATAATCTGAAACCATACCTGTTCCATATGAAATATGAGTAATGAGGGACATAGTGGAGAAATGTTTAAGTGAAGAGTGTTGAAGGTCTGGCTTATCACAGTTGGTAGGCTGGCTTCTTGTGAAAGAACATGCAGGTTTGTATGCGCATATTGGGACTCTAACACTACATTGATCTTGTTTCAGATTAGTATACCTGTACTCTCAGTGACACTTTTGAAGAAAACCAAGACTGCCCTTCTTGTGCCAAATGCTCTGATCATAGCAACAGTCACAGATAGGGTAAGTGCTGGTAGAGGGTGAAGCTACTCCACTCTGCCTGCTTGCTTTTTCATTTTTTTTTTCTACTTGTTTTTTTTTCTCCCTACTTGTTGGCAGTAATATGAGAGATTCTTGAAGGTGCCAAGTGGTGATTTAAACAGCTATAGGAATTGGTCGCCTATGGGCATTTAGACTTAGGACCCTGGAGTATCTGGTTTCTTAAGGGATGATTCTAGTTTATTCTGCCTCCTCTCTTGTGAAGGCAAGGACCATTTTTATTCCTCCTACTAACTCCCTGTCTTTTTTCTTTGGATGTGCAGTAAACAAAGCTGTGTAGAATTTGGTGAGAAAATAAGAAATGGAATCTCTGGTTGCCACCTGCTCTCTGTAATCTATCACTCCCCATTCTCCAAGACTGCTGTGTAGTAGCACTGCGGGAACTGAAACAGCTGGGTCAGGAAGTGGATGCACAGAGGGTTACCTGCCTTGTTGGCAGCTCTGACAGTATTCTTTCATTTTCTTGGGTCTCTTACTGACCAGCAATACTTTAGATGCACAGAGTACAGTTGCTTACAGTGATACTCTGGAATAGTAATTGCATCAATCAGTAGAAAATGTGATTATCCTAAGAACAGCTTTAGAACCAGCCCATTTTCATTGCACAAATATTTTGTGGATGCAGAAGAGTGTACAAAAATCGAGTTGTGGTTTGTTTTTGGTTTTTTTTTTTTCAAGGGGTAGCTAAAAATAGTATGCAAAGTCTTTCTAAAAAAAAGAACAGATCTGGACTATGCTCTGGTTCCTGCAGCAGAACATGGTAACTTTTATGTGCCTGTTCTCTGTTCCTTGTGATTAACCTCAGGTCATAGGCTTAGAAGGAGTGGAGGTTTTTCCTGCTATATGGAAGTTCTTGGAAGTAGTTAGTTGATCAGCCAAACCACCTATCAGTTTTATTTAGATAAAAGGAAGCTTGTTCTGTATGCGTTCTCTCAAACAGTTTTGGAACTTTTGTTTTTTAGTACATGTTTGTCTCCTTACTCTCCAGAGATACCACCTACAAGCTGTTAAAATCTATCTGTAGACATCTTGAGGTAAGTACTAATGGGAGTGAAAATGGTATGCAGCTTTGTGTTCATTATTACTGCTTTCCTGCTTTTAAATGCTAGATAGTTTCTGAGTGTGTTCCTTGTTAACACTGCTGCTTTTTTCAGGATACAAGCATGGGCAACAGCCCAAATCCTTCTTCTGCAGAAAACAGCTTCAGAGCTGATCGTCCTACAACTCTGCCCTTGGTAAATGGCTTAGATGTTTGTTCTTTTGTTGCATGGCACCTTTCATTGCAAGTACTACTTACAATGTCTGAAGAAAGGAAACTGAAGGAAATCATGACATCTGTTTCTAAAACTTCCATGATTTTTTTAACATTAGGAAGCAGTGGGAATGATTGGCATAGGTGTAATTTGATCTGATCACATGCAGTATATATTCATGCGTATGCTTTGGATATATTCCAAGGTCTGTATGCTGTATATATCTCTCTTTAGCAGTCAGGTTTCACAGCGCTCTGTACTGACTGAAAGTTGCTTCTTCCTCTGCCATGAACAGTTTTTGAAGTGTTTCTAGTTGCAGTCCTTCCTCTGTGAGGCAGATCAGACATCTGAAAGAGCTGTGTAGCCTCACATGGTGACCAGAGTCTAATTCTGGTAATGTCTGTCCTGGACTTCTCAGTTTGTCTAACTTAACAGTCTCTTTCTTTGCACACAGACGTAATCTCTTAAATGAAGGCAAGGGATGAGGCTTGAATTCTGGTGATTATACAGGGCTTATTTGCTAACTTGATCTCAACATCTTGATATCAGAGATTGTTCCTGGTTAAACAGTTTTAAATCTGTAATTGTTGGTTCAGTTTCTAGAGGGAGGTCAGAGGAAATAAGGTTGTTTAGATTTAGAACAGGGCTGAGCTTTCTTGTGACTCTTTCTCCCCATCAGGATTTCAATGAAGACTATTCTGATCTGGATGGAATAGTGCAGCAGCGGAGACAAGAGATGGAAGAGTCCAGCAGCACAGGCTCACAGACCCCAGAGCTGGAATGCTTCCAAGGTGAGTGGGATCGGCGGACCCCAAGAAAATGAGAATGGCTTAGCTCTCAGGTTTGCTTCAGTAATCCCCTTCTGATGTGAAATCTACATTCTCCACAGTCCTGGAGAATTACATGGTTTTTAAGGTCCTTCCATTATTATATTCCTTTGCAATCCAGATTCAGGCAATGACTTGGTCAGCAACGGATCTGATTTGTCAGTACTACCTCCAGCTGCTTATTCATATACTATCTGTTCCCCACATCCCCCATCAGTTATGCTAGCAGAGATACAATGTAGGAGATGTTCCTCCTTTAAAAAAAGGAAAAACAAACAAACAAAAACCCCTATTCTAAAGTCATTCAAGTCACAGTGTAACTACTTCTAATCTATACAAGTAATTTTCTGTACTGTGGTGGCTTTTGGTCATGAAAAAAGTTATTTTTGACATGTGTTTTTGTGGTTTTGTTTTTTAAGCCCTCATTTTATTCTTTGCAGTTATTAAGACACTTGAAGATACTGTCCAAAGTTGTTCTTTCTTAACACTACTGTTTGTAGTCTCATATGCCTCAAGTTCTTCACCTAATTATCAGGAATGCTGTGTAGAAACTCACTGCATCTAAGTTCTTAAGTACAGCGGAACTTGTTTTGTGTAGCACATGCTGAATGTTATTAGCAAAACCTACGGTATTATTCTGCTGTACAATTAATATATATTAACATATTAATGTGTTGTTATGCTGTTATTACTCCAGGTTCCCGTTTTGACTAGAAAATAATTTGTATAATAAGAAACTTTTACCATTACCTTTAAATGAAATACTATCCTTTTTTTTCATAGCCGTTTTCTGTCACGTTAGTTTTAATTAACTCGTCTTTTTTCCTATGTGTCTTTTCTTCAGTGGTATGATTTGGGCCTATTTGCTTTCATTGGTCTTTGGTATTTACTGTGTGTGTATTTTTAATTGTTTGGTGGTGTTTGTGAAGCAGTAACTAAATTGTGGTGTCATCACTTGCCACTTGAATGCTTCTGAATAATGATTTAAGTTGCTGTCTTACTTTCTTACAGCTAATAACTACTTCAAATCTTTCTGTTTTCCTTTTCCACAATTAAAAAAACAATATCCAGTTAAAGGAATTGGGGGGGGAACACATTTGTCACTTGTGATTCTGTTTCTTGTGCATCATTAGAGCAGTCCACGGCGTGGACAAAACTGAGTGTGACTGGATTTTTCTGTCCCATCTCTTTCAAGACATTGTCTGCATTTAAAAAACAGCCAGGAAAGGGAGCCTTTTAAATAACAATGCAATATCTCAATGCAAGTAGCAATTTGATGTTGCTATTAAAGTAATTTGGAATCATTACTCTAGCATATTCAGTCCTTTTGAGAGATTACTTTTGCGTCTGTATAATCTTCTGACTGGAAATTGAGTGATAACCTTCGAAGTTTGCACAGGTTGCCATCTTTCCAAGGATCTGGAAATGTAAATGCAGAATACATCCTCCTCTTCCAGTTCAGGTGCTTCTTTATATTTTGTAATGATGTGGAATTACTATGCAAACAGTTTTAAGGCTCCTAAACAAACTGCTGCTTTTTATCCAAGTCCAGAAATAGACCTTTTAAAATCATCGTCTTCCCCTACTCCTTGACTATCTTAAGCTGCTAACAGCTTCCTTTGACTTCATATTTCAGCTTTATTAAAAATCTTACTTTTGACAGATTATCATGTCGTTGAGACAGAGACTCACTTGAAAGTTTCCAAGACTGAGGCGAAGTCTGTCCGTTCAGATGCACACAGTAAACGCGGACCTGACGGAAAAGCCCAAAACAGTCCTCGAAATGGTAAGGGCTCAAGGGCAGATCTTCAGCTGGACTTAGTTGAGATAAGTTTGTATAGTTATGTCAGTTCACATAATTTGGAAGATCTCTTTCTTTTTTTTTTGTTTATATTATCTGTTGCATGCTTCAAAACACCATTTGTGTGCTGTGGTCTGCTTTGATCAAAGTAACACTTGGTTCTTTTTCTTGCAGGCAATTCTGAAGCCTTCAGGTTCTTCCACAAAGTGAAGTCCCAGAAGCTCTTATCTCTGAACCATGTACTTATATTTTACGCAGTTCTGTAAGTTAGCAAGTAATACCAAGATTGTCAGAATACTAGGATTTTCTTGTGTTTACATAGATTAATATAATTTAAGCTTCACTTGAAAAAAGGAAATTATTGGGAATTGTGGCCTTTATACTTTTCAGAAGTAGAAATGCTGGGGCAGGGTTACTTAACAGGCCTTTTACTTTTAAAAGCAAAGGGTCTTTTGGTTCAGGAAATGTTACAAGAGTTTAACTACTTGCAAGTTCATTTTACATGACACTTAGCACAGCCATACTGAAGGGTGAGATTTTTATAACTGTCTGAATGCCACTGATGGGTATTCCTGAGGTGTTTCTAAGAATGCTACCTTTGTTATTCAACATGTAAAAGTAACAATTTATATGGCTTTTAATACTAAATTTGTCAGGTACCTCTAAAGTTTCTATTAAGTGGTGTACCTTATTTTTCTCTTTTACAGCGTTTGTGTATTAATATTTTCTACCTTCTACATGAGATATAAAATCAGTGTCCTGGAGGAACGTCTTATTTCCATCACATCCTTTGAATCACATATTAAGGAGTAAGATACACTCTGTAAAATTTGGGGGGGTTAAAATCTTTTTCCAGTATCTGCCATGCTCATTTTTCTTCAGAAACCACTGTGATACTGTAGTGCCCTTGTGATACTTTAGTGTCCTGTAGTTCTTGTATCTGTACTGGCCTCATCTCACAGCTTTCTGTTTAAGACTTTTAGTACAAATGTGATGTATCATGGTGTACTACTGCCTTGAGAATGTTTCAGATAGCTGTGAGTCACTTAAGTGTAAACTGCTGAAGTGAGCAGTTCCTTTCCAGAGCAGTGATTCTGTGGAAAAGGTGTAACTTCTGTCTTCAGTCTTAATGTCATTTGATTAGCCTAAGATGACAGAAGGTACTTCATTTGGGCTAATACATCTGACTTGCTTGTAGAATGTTTTCTAAAGCTTTGGCCTGCCTATATCCTTTTTAGAGATTGATATCCTGTCCTGCTCAAATAAAAAAACAAACAAACAAACAAAAACACAACAACAAAAAAAACCCAACACAAAACCAAACCAAAACAAAAAAATCCAAACTTATCAAGGGAAGATTCTTTGTGTATTTGAAGAGGAAATAGGGAAATGGGCCATAGCTCCATTGATAGTTCCATTCTGTAGTTAGAGTTGTGGATATTACCTGCCCCTGCATTTTTTTTTTTTGATCTCCATGTTGCATGGGTAGGAAATATGCAAACGTCAAATGGAGAGGCAGTGCAAGGGCATACACCACAGTTGTATGCCACTCTAAGTTGTATCAGCTTCCTTTTCCTCTCTTAAGACAGAAAGTAGTTAACTGGATACTGCTGAGAATATTAAACAGTTTATTCAGCATTAAATTATGAATTAACTCTTCTCCCCTTCTTATAACTGATTTTTTACTGAGCTGCTCTGAAGAACATGGCTTAAAAAGTAATTCATAAATCTCACTGCAAAACCTGCAGCTACATGCAGCGTGAGCGGGAATGCTGGCAGCTGAAGAAGCACCACCTGAAAAACAGAGGGGGGAAATAAAATTCAAGCCAGAGCTGTACCCAGGCTGGGTGGAACAGTCTGCAAGTGTTTCAAAACTGTAGCAAGTTCTTGGATACTTAATTCAGCTTTCTTTGATGACCCATCTATGACGAACAGGTCACTCTGACAATGCACTTGTGGTCGTATTGAACAGTGACCATGCTGCTTGGGATCCAACTGCTCTCAACTGTCTTCTGTGGAAAGCAGTAGGACTTGTATGTGTGTGTCAGAAGACAGAGCTAGGTTCTTGATAAAAAAGGAATAGGGAGGAAATGATTCTTTATCTTAAACAGGCTTGCATTTACATTTTACCAATAATGCAAGGAGAGGGGTAAACTTATCTCTAATAAGGCAATGTCAAAAGCCATTTTCCCACATTTGGCATGTTTTAATTAGCAGGACGCTGTGTCCTTCTTCAGTAGCACTCTTATATGATAAAGTCCTATTTTCTGTTGCTCTGATCCCAAACAGTACAAGATACAGGATGATCTAATGTGCCCTTCTACAGTGTCAAGACGTTGGGCTTTTTGATTTCCTGCAAGTCACAGGATATGGAACTTAGGCAACTTTTCATCTTATTTCCAGTGGAAATAGCTGTAAAGTTTTCCATCCAAACTTCTGGAGAATGAGACCACATAAAGAATGTAGTCAAGAGTGCAAAAGTGACTTAGGCCTTTGTTTCTGTAAACGAGTACAGTTCACAATGTCGTCATTGTGTTCCCATCTACATGTTTCTCTCAGTTCTGTTTTCCTCTTTTTCACTTCTGTCACACTCACTTCTTCATTCTGTTTGACAGACATCCAGCACGCCAAGGTTTGGGATCTCATCTGCAAATTAATGCTGATGCCCTTTGTGATGAGTTAACTGCTAATCTTATAAAATTGGAAAAGGTAACTTCCTATGATATAATGCAAATGCTGATACACTAGTCAGGTTCTTGCTGAATTTCTATGGTCTGTTATTTTGAAAAGTGCCAAGTTACCCTCAGATTTGATGCTAGAAGTTGTCATGTTTTCCTAGACAAAGGACGGGGGTTTGGACTGTAAATTAGCCCAAGTACAAGCATTGGTATGCGCAAATGTTTTGCCTTGAGCTGAGGTTTACAATGAGGAATACTAATAAACTGGGTACTTCAGCGGTGATTATTGCATGTAATGATCTCAGTATGGTTTTTTTGTTCATCAAGGCTAAGGATTCTTAACCTTTATTACTTATTTGATGAAATTTTCTGGGACTTTTGTTTTAGTTTTGGTTTTTTTATTAAGAAAAATGATGCTGGCTTTCATATGTAGTCAGCCTCTTCATATGAAGTGGCTGGAATCTGCCTGTTTCACTTTAGTAACACAAATGCTGCTGCACCAGTTGTGTAATTCCCTATACCTGACCTTTACTTTTACCATTCTCTAATTGCAAAACTAAATGCACTTGCTGACTTAAATTGGAAACCTATGCAAAACAAGAGTGGGTGTGCAGGCCGTATTTCTACTTCAGGTGTTGTGGTGGACTAACCTTGGCCAGCAGTCAGATGCCCACCCAGCCACTCTCTCATTCCCCCTTCCTAGCAGGACAGGGGGAGAAAATAGGGTAAAAAAGCTCGTCAATCAAGATAAAGGCAGGGAGATTGCTTACCAGTTACCATCACAGGCAAAAGAGACTCAACTTGGGGAAAATCAGCTTAATATAGTACCAGTTAAAGTAGATTTGAGTAGTGAGAAACAAGGACAAATGATAGAAGAATACCTTTCCTCCGCCCTCTCCCAGGCTCAAGTTCACTCCTTTGCTCCCGACTCCTCACCCCACTCCCTGCCCCCCAAGTGGGGCTGATGGGGGGTTACAGCCAGTACATAACAGTTTTCTCTCTGCTGCTCCTTTTTTCCCCCGTTTTCCCCCTGCTGCAGCATGGGCTCCCCCAAGGGCTTCAGTTCTTCAGGAAATCACCGCCTGCTCTGGCGTGGGCTCTCCATGGGCTGCAGCGTGGACATCTTCTCTGCCATGGAGCACCTCCTTCCGCCCCTCCTTCTTCTCCTTCTCAGACCTTGGTGTTCCTTCTGCTGTTTCTCACCTTCTTACTCTCCTCCTCTCTGTTTGGTGTTTTTCCCCTTTCTTAAATACAGTTTCCCAGAGGCTCCGCCCCCATCTTGGCTGAGGGGCTCAGCTGTGCCCTGCGGTGGGTCCATTGGAGGCTGCGGGAACAGCAGTTTCCAGCACAGGGCAGCCCCTGGCCTCTTCCCACAGCAGCTGGCCCTGCAGCACTCTGTCCTGCCCCTGCCCCCAAACCTTGACAACTGCACCCAGTACAGGTGTATGAAATTTTATGTGCTGGGAACGCATACACTGGCCAAGCATGAAAAAAAGTTACTTGAATTCCTATGTGCTTAAGTCACATGGGATATTTTTGCCTCTGTTTCTAAAACTGAGTGCATGCCAAGGTCTTTCAACACTTTTTTTTCCCAAACCAAGTTTCTCAAATAGTATAAAGCTAGAATTATATAATATCACTGTTTACTTGTGTGGCATAGGTTTTACAAAGACTGCCAAAAAGAGGTTTCTCGCCCCACATCTCCACCCCCTTGGCTATGGAAGTCTAGAATAATGCTAGTATAACCCCTCTGTATGCACTGGATAATAACAATATGAATACAAGGGGAAAATGCTTACCAGATGATTAGCAGATACAATCTTTAGCCAAATTAGGTCATTTAAGGGCTTACTGCTTTCTAGCTGTCTGGGACAGGCTGGCAAGATGGATCATAGGAGACCTTCATTTAAGTTGGAAGCCAGCCAGCCAGCCCTTTGCAGCCGGGCTAGGCACTTTCCTACTCCCTTATATAGTCTCTGCTTGGAGACACAGTAAAAGGCAGCTGGATGGTTGGATCATTCAGCTATTCCCAGAGAAGTGACCTTCTGTCCTAAATTAGAGTCTTAAGTCATGTGCTTTTTTCAGTTAGTGTCCACAGTATTGGACCCTTAAAGTCTTCCTTTGTATTTGCAAAATACTCAAGACAATCAACTGCTGTGCATACAAGCAAATGAGCAGTGCTGGTAGCTGCATATTGCCACATCCCAGTCCTCTCTAATCGAGATGAGCAGTGGTTAGAACAGGATGTTTGACCCTACTCTTGTACTGCAAAACTGGTAGAAATCTAACAGCTTTGTGTTTTCTGAGCAACGTTCCTGCAGTTGCGTAACTGATTCATACGCCTTAGTGAAAAGTGCTCGTAATTGGCAGCAGCTGGCTCCAGCAGCAAAGGTAGCATAAAAGTTCCGGTGTAACTTGTTGTCTCTCCCCTCACTTCCTGTGTGACTGCAGCATTGTAAAGTAAAGCACAGAAATTATCTAGGTTAAAAACTAAAAATTAATCTCCAATTAAAAAATGTTCAGTGCAAGGGTATGTTGCAATGACTTTTTCAGTGTGACCTTGTGATTTTTACAAGCTCTACTTCATACTTGGAGCCAAGGAATTACCGTGCCTTAGCAGGATTTTGCTTTGGCATTTAAGTGTATTTAACAGGTTGTTAAAATGCACCAGATCTATCAGAAGATGCATTAAATTGGGAGAGGGAAAACGTGGCCTGATGTTACTCATTCCCTTATTCTAAAGTAGCTTGTGAAAAGGAAATTCCTGTGTATGCATTAAGTGACTCATGAAATTTGGTGCTTCTTAACTTTTCCTTCCCCCAAAATGCCCCCCTTGAAAAAGGTGTGCATCTGGGTTAGAAATCATGAGGTAGGATTAAGAAATGGTGTCCTTGAACAGGAAGTAGAATGGCTTCTCAAATTGAAGTCTGAAAGTGACTTAACCTTCTATAACCAGCGACTGCTAATTACTAAGATACAGAGAACACGTGTGCCAGGGGATGTGACCCACTATATTCCCCACTCTCTGCTTTTAAGAGCAAGGAGATGAAGGGTAGATAAATAGGCTGTGTAAAATAGGTCTGTGCAAATCATCCTTGAGGATGCGACTGGCTGGCATTGCCTTCAGTGTAACTAAGGAAGGATAACCCATAATCAATACACTAAATTTGGGACATGTCTGCTAATGGTTAGAAGACCTTATTTTGCTGCGTACACACTATAGCCAGCTGTGTAGCTGAAGCTGTTAAAAAACTATTTGAATTATCCACTTAAACCTAAGAGCTGCAACTTTGAAGTTTGAGGCTTTTACTGGGTTTTGATCAAGTTCAAAATAATTTGGTTTCTTGTCCCTTTCTAGCTACAGAGTTTTTTCTATCTTATTTTCTCGTACCCAATGAAGAAGAGAATCTATAGGAGGAAATTGCAGGAGATACTGGTAATATGAAAACTAGGTGTGCTGCTGGCTGATCGTATCCAGATGTCTCCTTTGACTCTAGTGCAGAAAGCATTTAACATGAATACCGTTGGTATGAATAGTTGTGACAGAATTAACGTGCACACAGAGAGTGTATTGAAGAGTATGTCTTGATTTTTTTTTTTAAATGCAGTATAACATTTCTTGCCTCCCAATTGTTTTTCTTTTTCTAAGATACAGAACAACTTACAAAAACTACTTGAAGATGGTGAATGAAACGTCCATGTTCTTAGACTGCTTCAGACCTCATTCTTCTCTCTTGACAAACAGTTCCAAAGGAGCTCTGCTGGCCAGAGTTCAAGCTTCTATATTTTCAGTCCAAGCCAAGCTTAAACTACGGTAAACCTCATGTCATGATGCAGAACGTCAGTTTATTCTTGAGCATGTTTTGAAAACATACATGTTTTGATCTACATGTACCTATATGTTTTGAAAATAAGGGGATTTTTCCTTCTCTATTGTATGTGAATTAATGGATTTTATAGCTTGCTTGATTCTAGACTTGCTTACACCAGTGCAAACCTGGTGCAACTCCTTTTACCTCAGCATTTGCTTTCTGCCTATTGTCACTGAAGTGTAAATGGGAAGAATTTCAGTCATGACTCATGTGCTGAAGTGTTGTGTGAATGAGCTGGTGTCTTTCTCAGCTATGGTGATGGATCGGTGCTGTGCTCTTCATTTGTGCTTATTTGTTCCCTGGCATCCCAAAGATCAGAAAACAGACGCCTCTGGTTTTGGTTATGTGAAGTTCTGAATGTTTAAGGCGCGCTCAGTTTTCAGGTGCTGTAAAAAGGTTCAATTCCACTTTCTATGGCATTGCATCACTGCTGAGGGCAAGGTCTGTTTCTACTGGGCATTCAATTTCCATTGAAGTCAAGCTTGAAATATGTATGGACTCGCCAACTTACAATCAAGTTGCTTATGAATAACAGCATGGGTGTGATATATCTGCACAACTTAGAACTGCTAGGTATTTTGTCCACTCATATGGTCTCTGTCCATTAAGTTAATCGGTGTGAAGACCCTCAGTCAGCTTTCCTTGGAGTTTCATGCGGTTTTGGTTGGCTGAGCAAGTGCAATTTGTGTTCCAGTTAATGGAAATCTAGTCTTGGTATGCGACTCCAGGGACCAGATATTTCCACATCATGGGAACTTGCAAATTAGTGACGGAGCAATACAATCAGTAGAGTGAAACGGTGGACACCTGCTTTGTTATATCGTACTGTTTTTTTCACAGTGCCTAAGATAGGATAACTGGGGATTTTAGCTTTCTCATTTCTGGTTAGTTTTTAAAAAGCAATATTTAGGATAATAACAATTAGTATCTGTAAAGTAACAGTATTGTTTATAATATGCTATGCATTTTATAACCATTTCTGTGAAATGTACCTACTTTATTTAAATAAACTTTTTTAAAACACGCGACTCTAATTTGGATGAACCCAATTCCATGCATTAGTTTTAGTCAAACCTGATACTCATGATCTGAGTAGGCTCGTACCTCACAGTACAAAGTTTGCGCAAAACCCAGTACCCAACACAAAGGGTTAGGAACTGCATCCTGCTAAAGTGCTTCCTCTTACTCAGCTGTACTCAAGGTCTTCCCAGACTGCAACAGTAGGAGCAAATTTGGACCCCAGTTTTGAGGAAATGTTAATAGTTTTCTCAGGTGGTTCCTCCTTGAAGGATATTGAATGAGTATTGTAATGTTGAGGCAGCCGAGAGAGCCCTCTGTGCTCTCTGACGTGCCTGCCTGGCTCAAGTTTCCACCTGAGCACGTCTGTCAGAAATCTGTGAGATTTGAGTGTTCTCCCTGTTGCAGCCTCTGCCTTTCCTTCCTCAGCTATCCTGAGATTATTGTAATACTTGGTTTCACAGGAAAAAGATTGAAGTAAGTTATTTTTTCTTCTTTTTCCGTCCTTTTCCCTACTCTCCTTCCACAGTTACACAGCTTATGCAACGTTTTGGACTCTGATCCAATCCTCTCCCTTCTTCTCTACTTCTCTCCCTTTAATTCCGCATCACAGAAGCCTGTAGTTCTGTTTATGGTTTAAAAATTGATGCCACAAGTCACCTTTATCAAAGGAACTTCAAGGAAACTTGATTATATCCAGCAGCTGAACTGAGTTAGACTGTTAGACTGTTCCTCCATCCTACATCAGCAAGGATGTGCTTTGCTTAGGAAAACAAGGGGGAGAGAGAATATTTGGCCTGTGCCTTATGTAAAGCAGGCAGGCTTTATCATCAGCCTTATCATCGGCCGTAAGCGGACAGAATAATTACCGGAGTGAATGAGTAATCAGAGGTGGATGCGTGCCCTTTAGCCTGTTGTGGCAGCATGCCGGGGAAGGCAAGTCTGGACAAAGGTGTAACAGTGTCTTTCAAACGCAGGAGAAGCAAATTACCCTCCAAAGAAAGAAATGGCACTTGGTGCTTGTGACTCTGTGGTCACCTCAGCTCACCGACACAATTCAATGTGGCCAGCTCTTCTCTGCTTTTCAGTTGGTACCCTCGCTCCTCTTTTTCCTAGAGGGAGGAGGAGGATGTCTCGAGGATGTCGTGCTGTTCAGAATTGGTGCGCAGCTGGGCAGGGTGTAGTACTGCAGTACTTCCAAACCAGGAGACAGAGCGCACGCAAGACCCTGTGGGGGCGAAGCTTAGAAGTGTGAGTGGAGTGGTTTCAATCCTGCGATTCAGTCTGGTGACTGAAGAGGAGGGGTTTGCCCCAATCCTGTTTGGGAGGGAAGTAAAAACAGCAGTGATGAGCAAGGAAAAGCTGCTTCCTGTGAGGGTGGGAGTCAAGCAAAGAGTAAGGGGGCTTCTCCTCCCGGCATCCGTGGTAGGTAGTGCAAACAAAGACCGCAAGGAGGGGTTTTGCTGTTTGGCAAAGGTGAAGTGCTAGTCTGCAGAAATAGGAAAGATGTGCAACTTTGGGGAAGTCAGAAATCTACACCAGATGTTTAGCACAGGGTGTTAATAACGATCACTTAAAATTTGCTGCATAGGTTGCCCGGAAATCTGATTTTAAAAGCTGATTTTTTTATTTCTTTTTGATTTTGTTTTTCAAATTTTGTCGCTCTGTTGTCCCTCACAGCACAAAGGCTGAAAAAACAACTGAGTTCCACCAGCCGTGAAGGACCTAGTATTAGTACTGGGTTCTGGCAAGATGCTTTGAAACTGCAGATGTATGGAAGGCAACATCGCCTAAGGTTTTCTCTATTTGTAGTTGGTGACCCAATTACTTTTTCTTAACAGATTTAGCCCAACTTTCTTCACTTCATGTGAGTGCTTATTCTAAGGGAGAAAAAACCACAAACAAACAAACAAACAGCTGCTTGATTTTCTTTCTCAGAAAATGAATTTTGAGGAAACTCCCAAGAGACTTTGGTGGTTGTGGGTAGGAGTCATACACAAGACCTGACTTTTTCACGTACATTCTGCCAATGTCCAGCCAGTGGAGTCCTTACATCCTGGCCTGGTGTGACTAATTTAAGGTGGTTTTCTCCACTTCACTGGTATGAACGTGTACCAAATAGCTAATAGTTGGGGGGCGGCGGGAGGAAACATGGAAGTATCTTATAGGCATGATTTTCTGATGTTTGGGAATTCATCTATCTTCAGGCTGCTGTCAGGAGGAAGAGTCTTTTCCATTTCTCCCCTCTTCCATATTCCCAGTTGTTATTTTCTTCTGCATTTTCACAGATAGAATGGAGGGGAAAAAAGTAATGTGGTTTGGAGAGGCTGGTTGGGTTGAGGGGTTGAATTAGTTTTCTACCACAGTAGTGGCCTGAACTGGCTTGGGCTGAGGGGTATCAAGTTTATGATACTGTTGATGTGAAGGATGCAGCTAGTACTCCAAGAAGGGGAAGTGTTATAAAGCCCCCTCTCAGGAGAACATGAAAGGTAGTAACTCCTGTTAGCATTTGCAGAAAAGACAAACAGTTTTGTGTGTGTGTGCATGTGTTTATTATAATACTATCGGTGCTTTCACCCGAACCTTCATGCAGGTGTGTAGTAATACTCTCCGCTTCCTGCTATGCCTGCACTTTCATTTCCAAGTTTCCAGCTCATAGTCAGCTGACAAACGCTAAATAAATCTCCGGGTTGGTGCTATCCCAGGCCTTTGCGGGCTATTGCTCAGCAGGTTCAGCTGCAGCTGCTAGTGAGGTGTTACTCCCAAGAATATAGGAGATTTTGCATTTATAGAGCAGGTACGACAGGCAATAAAGATCATGAAAAAGCTGGCTATTTAGACAGAAAACTGAGCAAACAGTTTCTTTTGTGCTCAGTGCCTCTGTGTGTGCTTCTGTAAACAGCAGAGGAATAATGTCGTTTGAAAGGATTTTGCCAGCACCTGCTTTCAGTTTGCCTGGTGAGACTATTGGAGTCTGGCATGCAAATTTGCTCAAGTGGGAAAATTGCCTAATCTCATTTGACACTTCCAGGTTTATGGTTTGAATCCTGTGGAGCTTTCTGCTAAACATGGTTGCATGTAATGAGACTTTACAAAAGGGATGGGTTTTTGTACTTTCTTCGGTTATAAAATCAGCGTAATACAATTTTATAATTGTATAGCTTCATGATAGCCTGTTGTTCAGCGAACAGCCATAACAAAATATATGCCAGTAAATTTCTTTTCATTTTCTCTTAAGTTATGCCGTGTTTATCAGTAGCCTTCCTGGATTTTAACAAAAAATCAGTCAAATACATATAGTAAAACAATCTACACTATATGTACTAATTCAGCAGCACTTACAAGAGTTAATTCCCTGAGCTTCACACAATGTTATGATGCCTATAACCATTCCTGTCCAAAATACAGGCATTTCACTGGTAAGTACATAGCTGTTTTTTAGACATCCTGGTTTTCCTCCTGGTTTTCCTCCTTTCCTCCTCAAGTTTCCTTTTAGTCAAACTGGCCAGCAATTAAATACAGCACAGTATTTAATCTATTTAATTTTAGATTAAATCTAAAATTATTTGGGTGACTAGGCCTACATCCTTACGGCAGCATGGTTGGGAGCCCTTGTCTACACCTGCAATTGGTAGGACCCTCAAAGGGGATGATCCCAAGAAGGAACTGGTTAGAAAAGTGCTCTGAGAGGATACCAGCAGGATTGGTACAATAATCAGAAGCTTTTGTCTTTCTTCCGTACCTGCTATCATCTCTATTATAATTTACAAACAAGTGGTCAGGCTGCAGCATCTTAGCAAGC